AAATAGACAATCCGTTACTCTTTTGTTTTCTTCTAGAAATGAAGCACTAACAGTTACCCAACTTAAACCTCGTGAATTAAAAATGTGATTTTCTAGACACCCCTACACGAATGTAGTCAACATTGATTTTGTTGCAGTGGCGTAGCCAGGTTTTTCAGAAAATTTAAAAGGGGTCAATAAATTAAAAAGCTGAAATTGATCTAAATTTTTAATAAAATGGTCATTAAAACAAATCAAATCAAATGTAAAAGTGTTTATATAAGTTTTATTTTTTTCATTAAATGATACAAAACGAGTTTATTATATATAAAAACTGAAAAATAATATGTGATCAATATGCCTTCGTATTTCAGGGGGGGACCCCCTTTGGCCCTCCCTTGGCTACGCCTCTGTTTTGTTTGATGGAAATTATTTCTGAATATCTCTAAGGTTTTCTTCCAAACATTATGGTTACTCCTAGTTACACAAGTATTTAACGAGCTAAAACGACCCGATTATTACAACTTATTACCAATTTTTTACTGTAGATATAGACGTTCAGTTGTTTCAATATACTGTGATCATCGCAGATCCTGACAAACAAATAACCATAATAATTTTTCAAAGCATTTACGAAGTACATTTAATCTATTTTACAAAACATGTAAATTGTCACATGATTTGGACTTGGTTGAAGCCTTGCGCAGAATCCGTTTGATAAAACCTTTAGCTTTTCCGGTGCACACTGATGATGAATGATTTTTGGGTTTTTCCTTTTTTTCACTTATTTTCTCCTGGTGCTGCAGTTTTAACCGAATCTGAGTTAGAATACCTACCAGGAGCTCATCTACGTGGTGGTTTATTCCTGCTGAAGTCTCTATGAACTTGCAGTTAAAAGATGTCGCTGCGGCTCGGCCCTCTAGAGAGAGAAAAAAAAAACTTCAGAAAATCATCAGTAACTTCTGATCAAAAAGCTAATTGTATCCATAACAACACAAAAAACTTCATAAATAATGTAACTAATCCCCTACAAACGTGATAATGCAATAAAAAACAAAAAATATAATAGTATTAATTTCTCACTTAGTACCATTTTCGACCGTAATCCCTATAATATCTCACGAGATTTAACCAACTTATGAAATTAAAGTCGCTTCTAATTCCATTTACTAAGCTAATAATGCAAAAGATTACACGTAAATGTAACAAATATGTATATATATATATAAATCATGCATATATTTAATATTATAACAAACTTTAAAGAAAGAATATGCTACAGCTTGTTTCTGTCAGAACAAAAAATACCCTAATTGAATAAGTTGTTTAAACATTTGTTTAACAAGAAGTAAAAGCATGG